CGTGATGGAAGTCTTGAGGAGTCAGGATTTCTTTCTTTGAGCTTCGTAAATATTTTTTGTGGGTGGTTTTGACAGGCTGGCAAGTCTATTGTTTGTCCATGTCTTTCTCACGCTTTATATTTGTTTACATCTATCTATCTATCTATCTATCTATCTATCTATCTATCTATCTATCTATCTATCCCAGTCTGTTCATATCTATTTATCCCAGTCTGTTCATATATATTTATCCCAGTCTATTTCTATCTATATATCTATCTATCTATCTATCTATCATCTATCTATCTATCTATCTATCTATCTATCTCAGTCGGTTCATTTATTTATCTATCTATCGATTTATCTTTTTCAGTCTGTTTCTGTCTGTAGTAATGTCCGTACTCGGACACGAGTTGGCAAACACCATATATATATATATATATATATATATATATATATATATATATATATGGTAAGACAGATAGAGAAATATTTAATCTGTAAAATATTCAGCTGAAGCTAAATAAACAGCAAAACATGTCGAATTTATAAATTTTTTCTACTTGTTTGTTTTCCTTATTTATTCCTACCTAGAGAGATATGAAGACGCTGAGATAAATATGAACTGTGGGTGAAAAGATTGAAATAGTTGGACACGTAGACTAATATAACTGAAAAGATATAGATAGATGTAGATAGATGAAAAACTGATGTAGATTGATAAGAAAACAGTGGAACAGAAAGTGTATAAGCAATCAATCTATCCTGATATAGACGATCTTTTTGTACCTTTTTTTCTCCATGTCTTGGTGTTCTGTTTCATCCCCCTCTTTCCTCAGGAAATACTATTTTAAGTCGACGAGCAATATTTTCAAACTTGTTAAGTCTGATGGCTGTTCGACTCGGTTGATTGTCTACTAATTCGAAATAATTATGTGTGTCGACAAATTCTATGGAAACGCATGAGTCATCAGGCTACCGGAAGTCAACACAAAAACAATGGCTGCTATAAGAAGTCAACCCGGGAGACTCGCTGTGGTGACAGGGTTATATAAACAAGAATCCGATCAGTTGTTATTGTTGAGGAATGCGTTCGATCCTTACCTTGGGATTATGTCAAAATCGCAAGAATTTAGGTTGAAAGTTAAGCAACGTCGAACCTAGTCAATATCTAGATGAATGGCCACTTGGGAACGCCAGATGCTGAATGCTTGGGTGTGCCGGTGGTGTAAAATAATAACGGCTCGGAATTATAAATCAGAGAGCGGAGTTCCAATTCCAGTTGGGTTCGTTATATTCTCTTGGAAAAAGTATGAATCTACTTGTTTTTACCCCAGCTATGGGTTAATTAGTCGGACGTATCAGTAAATCATTATTATCTCCAAAATATCTTACAATCTACAAATATTTCCTAGCTTTAAATAAACCGCACAAGGTTGATAAACCGTAAAAAATCAATCAATTAATTGTTAATATAATTTTATTATTTCGAACTATTGTTTTTCTCTTGGTTGATATAGATGTTGTTATGCAACGTTTCAACCGCGTACCTTCTGGCCATCATCAGGTGTCCATTGTTTGGCTGATACGGGATATTTATTGATTATAGTGCTTTTGTTACTATGATTCAAGTTGTTGTTCTTTCTTTCTAAACAGTTTTTTCCTACCTGATCAAAACTGATTCAACACACAATCACTAGATGACAGTAAAACATAACTAACGCCTATAACCACAATGCCACTATCAAAATGAATTTCTTCTCTTCCCAATCGGAGTAGATAGGTTCACCTATCGTCCGGTTCACACTCTTCCTCCCTCTTTTGAACAGTAGAAATTTCTTCATTGTTCCCCGTTTAAGAGTGGGTTTCCGGTTCCTTCAAAAATCTTTTTATTCTCTTTCACTCCCCGCACCCCCTAGTGTGTTAGTGGCATTATTGCCTTGCTTGGGGCGAATTGATAAAAAATAAATTTGCTTCGTTCCCTCCTCTCTGATGTTTTTCTATCTTTGGCCGAAATGTTGTGTCTATAATAACATCTATAATATTCAAAATAAGAATAGTAGATAGACAACTGACGATGGCCAAATAATACCTGTCCGAAACGTTGTGTCTATAATAACATCTATATCAATGAAAACGAGAAATATTGTTGAAATGATAAAAGTATACCGCAAGGTGTTAATAACAAAATACAAGACACAATTAACAAAAAAGAAACTTAATCTGTTTGTCGGTCCCTCTCTCATCAAAGTTTAATCGCGGTCGTGAAATATAAATAGTGACCAATTGTCATATGATAATTATTTAACAAAATCGAATTACATTCTAGGGATAAATAAGGCGCTTATCTCCCTTTGGTGGTGATAAGTCATATGGATCATATGACAGCCGCTTAGTGACGTCTTTTAATACAGTGCGAATATATCTTTCCCAGATAGAGAATGAAACTCGCAGTCCTCAATTTGGGGAAAACCAAGATTTACTGTTTCCCGTTCGTTGAATATGTCCTCGACTGGGGCATAGTAGATGAATCCGGCGCATTTGAATCCAGAGTCCTAAACATGGCTTCTCCAGATACAGGAGTATCTCCATATTATATATATGGCCCTTCCTTTTCGTTTCTGCTTACACTCTGTTTTGCTGTGTAAGATATATATGATAAATTATTCTCCGCGCGGGACATGTGTATATATATGTATATATAATTTTGTGTATGTCTTAGCGATATAAAAGTCTCTCTGAGAACAAAAAATGTTTGCCATTCCTTTTCCTTTCAGCCATTCCGTCCCTGAAGTACGTTGTTATTATATCATAGATATAATAATACCCATAACACAGGAAAGACAAATGGGTGAATAAATCTTTCTCCCGTGTCTCTCTCTCCCGGGACAACATTTAAGCGTAACAACCAATCATTCTGCGTTCATAGAGATGGCTGGTAGAACCTAATATAAATAGACTCGAACACATTCAAATGAAATTCTGAGCTAGCCTTCTTCTACTATCGCCGAATCAGCCGTATTAACGCACTTATGCAAATTGCCCACTTTGCCATTGTTGTGTTTCGCTGTTACCATTTTACAGTAGTGCATTTTTTTATCCTTCTTTTTTGTTATTTTTTATTCCCTATGTCCGTTTCTTATCAGTATTATTAAATATTCTAATCCTTCTAAAATATCTGTTTATATATTCGGGATGAGGTATTGCAACTATTTACATTGTTCGGGCTGTTCTCATCTTTATTGTCATATTCACGACTTTTCGGCTGTCGTATACTGCGGCCTTCTACAGGGGATATGCGTTGGAATTTCAAACCGAACACTTTATTTCGTTCACCGGGGTAGATTGTTGTAGTTCCAATATCTCATTTTCAGTTATCTCCCTTTAATAACTCAACTCTCCAAGTTTTCATTCACCTCTACTGTGGCCAGGTATTGAACTCACAACTCTTTGGATCAAGTCACTTTTGGATTAATTTAACCAACGCTTTTAACCACTGGATCCTTGGGGACATCAGTGAATTAAGTTTGGGGACTTATAAACATAATATCTCAGTAGTCGTTTTTTTTTTTTACCAGAGCTCATATTATAATTTTTTGTTATTATTTCTTCTCTATTACTCTGTGTTACTGTTTGCCATATTGTATGCATATCTATACTTTGCCTAGTATATGCGCTGATTCCTTAAGTTTTCGTATTTTCCAGTGATGTTCCCTGTCTATTACTTCAACCTCATCCCACAGAGGGTCGGGATCTCCCTTTCCCCTCCAGATAGGATCAGCCACGCCTGATTTTTTCTATTTCTCGTCGTGTTAAGGCTTTACAGTGTTCCCGTAGACTTATTTTAAATGGTCGACCTGTTTCTCTTTTATATATACGTGGAACTAGAGAAATCTACCCCGGTGGATGAAATAAAAGGCTCGGTTCGAAATTCCAATGTATGTCACCTGAAGAAGGCCAGAGCGTACAACGGCCTCCTAAAATGTTAAAGTTGTGAATATGACAGTAAAAGCTGAGGAGAACAGCCCGAACAATGTAAATAGTTGCAATACCTCAGCTCGGAAATATAAACAGATATTTTAGAAGGATTAGAAAATTTAATAATAACGATAAGAAACGGAGATGGTAAATAAAAAAAAATAACAAGAAAGAAGAGAAAAAAAATTGCACTACTAAAATATTTCAGTAAATTATGTTTCATTACGTGCAGATCAAAATATTAGGTTGTTGCAAAAATAATGTCGGTTTCTCACATATGTTACTATGTGAGAAAACGACATTATTTTTGCATCGCCCTAATACTACCTACCGTCAGGAATGGTTATTGTCTAGAGAAGAGGTGACAATCTTGCCCGCTCCAGGTCAACAAAAACATTTACGTGTTCCCTCTCTGATCTTTTTTTTTTACTATTGCTCACCCAATACAAGGCCCAAGAGCCACTAGGGGTAGAGGGTTACTGTGTTGACATTGCGTAAGAAACAACAAGCGTTAGTAGTACAGTACTGAAGCAGACTTTAGAAGAAACCAGAAACTCAACTCCAAACAGGAAACAAGGGATAAACCTCTACTCCTGTTCAAAATACTGGGGAGGAGTGTGAACCGGGAGACGGGCGAATATATCTACTTTAACATAAATATGACAACTGCTAGTAGCTCTCTGTGAAGTCCACCAGTAACAGATTCTGATCGTTTTTAACTGAGTATACATTGATCTGGGTCTTATCAGAAACTGAGAGGGCTCATGTTCTATACCAACCGCCACCGGTTGAGTGAATCGTCGATTAAATATGGCCCCAAACACTGGAAACCATAGGCTCCTTTATGTGTTTTGGAAGTGACATTTCTTCTACTGTCGGCTTAAATGATCGAACTAGAAAAAGTTTTGGATGTTTCTGAACAAAATGATACATCCCGGCTATGGGAAAGAGGTTGAAGGGTAAGAATAATTCGTCACCCACAACTTATTGATTGTACTGTACTGGGAGAAGGAAGATTGCACGTCCACGTTCTTGAAAACCGGGCAGACGCTTGACACTTTCCGCAGGCTTGGGAATGATTTCTCTTTAAAGCAGCAGTTGAATAACTTTGCTAGGATTGGAGATAATTCCAGGTTGATGTTCTTAAGGACGACCCCTGGAATTTTGTCTGAACCAGTCGCTTCCTTAGAGGGCTCCAGAGGTCAGGCCATTGCTAACTATCTTCAGGGACCACCTACTTGTTAGGAAAGATTTTATGATCGAGAAGACTCTTCCAGTGATTCCATAACTTGAGAGCTAGTGTAGTAAGCCTTTGTGCCACACCCTTTGAGCCGGCCTTTGAGATGTCTAGAGCTATGGTCGTTGAGTTGTGCTTGTCGTCAAGAGCCTCACTGATTCTGTGAGTGATGGTACTTAGGACATCGGCAACGGATCGGGGCGACCGAAACCCATATTGCTCATCGCTGAAGAGATTATTCTTTTCTAAGTGCTCGACGAACTTATTGATAATGGCCTTAAAAAGCTTGCTGGTGATACTAAGGAGACTGATCTGTCAGTACTGGGAGGAGGAAGATCTCACGCCCGCGTTCTTGAAAACCGGGCATACATTTGACACATTACACAGGCTTGGGAAAGATTTCTGTTTCAAGCAGCGGTTAAATAACTTTGCTAGGATTGAGGACAATTGCGCCGAGTTTATGTCCTTAACGACAGCCACTAGAATTTAGTCTGGACTTTCTTAGGATCAAGGCCTTTGATAAGTCTGGAGCCTTCTTGTGCTGTGATTGTAATATTACTAAGATTGCGCTCAGTGAGACCTGGGAATTTGGGGAGGGGATGGTCTTTGTCGTCTAACGTTGAGTTTAAGGCAAAGATGAAGATATTCGCCTTATCTATCGAGGAAGATATGACCTCGGGGCCATTTATAATTGTGGGCACAGTTGCTTTACTTTTGTTCATGTTTTGGTTGGTGATCTTCCAGAATTCACGGGATTCAATTTGTTTCTATTCAACCTTGGTTTGGATTGCTCGTGCGTAGCTGCAATTGGCGTTTTCTAGAACTGTTTCAAGTGATTCCGGGCCGTTCTGAATACAGCAAGGGCCGAACATCATCGCTCCTTGCGATAGATATTGAGATAATGGTGCTAGTGAGTTATAGTTGCAGTGTATTCAGTGGTGAACCGAGCTTGATTTTGTCTGGACCTGTTGCTTTCTTAGGGTCAAGGCCTAGAGACTTTTCGTACTATGATGGTAATATTATTGTCTGTCGAGGAGGATATGACCTCGGAGCTATTTATAATTGTGGGCAAATCATATATGTTTTTGGTTGGTGATCTTCCAGGGTGGATCCAATTTAACCTTGGTTACTCGAGCGTAGTTGCACTTTTTTCGAAAATTTTGTAACTTTTCATTTGTATTTTCAGTGATAGAAATAATTTGAAAAAGGATTAGAAAAACTTTCCATTCCAGAAGTAAAAGTTCTATATTTTTTATAACTTTATTTTGGTTTTTGTAAAAGGATTGAAATTTTATTTTTTTAAGGTTTTATTGAATGTCCTCCATCATTAGTAATACAAAGGGTAATACGATTTTGCAGTTCACGGAAAACATTTGCCAACTGATTTACAGTAATGCCTGAAATCACATTAGTTATTTTAGCTATACTTAAAACTAGGTACATTAAACTTTATAACATTTTTTACAGATTATTTCTATCGCAAATACAAATAAATTAGTTTTTTAAAGTGCACACAATTTTAGGACACAGTATGAATATATATATGGTTCAGATATAGAGTTCTATTATATAATTTATTTTGAAAATAAATTTCAACTATGATCTGCGCGCTTCTTCTTGGCTATTGAATGAAGATGCTAAAATCATGCATCTGATGTAATCGGTGCTATGAAATGGTTGGTTGAAGTGTACTGCGACGGCAAAAAAATTGTTGTTATTGGCACTGATGGTTTTCTTATGGTTATTAAATCGAAGTCTGAATTACGTTCCCGTTTCTCCAACATAATTTCCTTGTTTGCACTTGTGGCAGAAGAGCAAATATATGAGATTTGAACTATAACAATTCAAAGCCAGTGGTTTGCATACCTCGTGAGTGGCGGTGGGTGTGAAACTGCTATCAGTGATCAGTGTACCTCTACTAATTCGCTGAAGAAAGAGCATACCATGATGATAAAAGGCCCCAAACTTGATAAAAACAAAGTTTTATCGTCAAAATGTTTATGTTATTATTAAGAGGGAACACCAAAGTATTTTAAAATTATTTAATTTTTTTTTTTACTTATTTCTAACACGTTCGAAATTTTGGTTACAAACCTTGTTTTTTTTATGCGTGAACGGTGTAACAGCGCTGGTTATAGAAATTTTCGCGCCTTTTTCCGGAAAAATTACACATTAATTTGGAAATTCAAGTACATCAAATAACTGTCGGATTTTATTGAAACTTTCAGGAATTATTAAAAAAAAAATGAATGAATTTATTTTTGAATTCATTACTTTTAGAAAATCTTGGTAAAAATATTTTTTTATACTTAATTTCATGAGATTTTTAGAAATTAAATTCCTTACTTCAATTTTTTATTAATTAAGAGCAGGACTCCTTGGAGAATGTAAATCTTCGATTTATTTTTTACAAACTTTTAGTCCTTTCCCGAAAATGGGCTCCGAATTGTAAAATAAAAAACTGCAATAAAACTACAATGTAATAAATATATAAAAGATACCCAGGAAATATAAGATAAACCCGGATATAAGAGATTTTCTCTGGTCCCCAAATTAGAGCCTGTGTTAATGTATATAAATTAGACCAAACCCGGATATAAGAGAAACCAGGATATAAGAGAAACCCGGATATAAGAGACTTCTTCTCCGACCCCGACAACTCTCTTATATCCGGGTTACACTGTATCTAATTATTGCACCTGTTAATTGAACTTAGGGTTATGAAATTTCTAGAAATTAAAATTCCAGGATATTCGTATTTATATTAGTTAAAAGAAGGATTCCTTGGAGAATTTAAATCCTGAATTTATTTTTGTCAAACTGAAACCCCATTTACCGATGCATCGTAAAATAAAAAAAATTGCAATAAAATTATGACATTATTAATTGCTTTTATAAATATTAAGGACATTATAGTCTGAAGAAAAAAAAAATCGAGAAATAATGAATTTTTACAAGAATTGTTCTCATTTTTTTAAAATTATAATACAGTGTAACCCGGATGTAAGAGAGTTTTCGGAACCGGAGAAGAAGTCTCTTATATCCGGGTTTCTCTTATATCCGGGTTTGGTCTAATTTATATACATTAACACAGGCTCTAATTTGGGACCAGAGAAAATCTCTCTTATATCCGGGTTTCTCTTATATCCGGGTCTCTTATATCCGGGTTACACTGTAATTTATAAAGTGTCATAGTTCTTTTACAGCTTTTGTTCAATGAATTGTTCTTGAAGCATTTTAATCCAAACCTAACAGATATCTTGCTTAATGTATATCTATCGCAGTGTCAGAAGTCATGCACAGTGTAGAATTAAGACCTGTCATTCTCGTAGACTGATTACTAAACACTAATAAGAGAGCCCAATCCCTACTATTTGAGACATAGCTGAAGAGTCGGAGAAGAGATGGATTTAAAAACCTCTGCGAAGCGATATTTACACGCGTAATGTAACGAACGCAACCAGAATTCGAACTTAGCTATTTGATTTCTTAAACTCGCTATCCATTACGCCACTTACGCATACATACATACATACGTACATACATAAACACACACGTACTTATATATTTCTTATATCATTTTTATGAATTGTATCAGTCAATCTTTTCTGAATTTAGTTTGTTTAATTAACTAAAATTAGCTAGTATTACTGTATATGAGATTATCTATTTCTGAAAGTCTGTTCATATCTCTCTCTCTCTCTCTCTCTCTATCTATCTATCTATCTATCTGTCTATCACAGTCTGTTCCTATCTATCTATCTATGAAAGTCTGTTCATATCTATTTATTTCTGTTTCTATCTATCTATCTATCTATCTATCTATCTATCTATCTAATTCTATTCATATCTATCTATCTATCTATCTATCTATCTATCTATCTCATTCACACTCAGTCCATGTCTATCTATTTTAGGCCATTTCAATTGATAGCTGAAACGCCACTACAAACCCGCTCGACCACCGAGCAAGCATCGCCACTCTCTACTGTCTCTCCCTCCCTCTCTCTCACACACATTCATCTGACAAGAGACCCCCACAAAGAAACCTGCCTCTAGCTTTCTACTCGACTGCTCTCAGATCTGCCAATCTCCCCACTCTGACACTACCTCTTGCCTAACCACCTACCTATCTGGCTGTGTACAAGGCGGCGCACACCTGACTGCGTCTGACGTTCGCCAGCAACCAAGGTTTTCCCAGGCAACCCCGATGGCCGACGCTTGCGCTACTCTGCTCTGCGGGTTCGACTGAGAGGCGATTTGCGTGGCAAAGGCAGCAGAACATTTCTGAAGGAACAAAATAAAGAGAGAGAGAGAGAGAGAGAGAGAAACTTACAAAGGTTTCTTGTGAAAAGGATTTCTTTTTCTTAATTCATTGTTATACAACAGACGGAAAATTCGGGATTATTTTTAGGAGTAAGAAGAATTCATTATTCGCTTAAAAATCGACGGTGGATTTGGAGAGAAGTAAAGTATTTATTTATTTATTTTTCTTTCTTTATTTTTTTCTTTCTTTCTTTCGTTTTTTATTTGTTTAGTTTTTTCTTTCTTTATGTCTTTCTTCTTTCGTTCCTTCGTTATTTCTTTCGTTCTTTTTACTTTCTTTCTTTCTTTCTTTATTTCGTTCTTTCTTTCTTTCTTTCTTTCTTTCTTTCTTTCTTTCAATATCTCTGATCGCATTTATATAATTAGCAAGATGGCTCTGATCATTAATATTTATCTATCTAGGTAGCTAGCTCAACCCGATCATATCTATCTATCTATCTATCTATCTATCTATCTATCTATCTATCTATCTATGAATGATTTAATTAATGCTAACAATTTTCGTCTGTTTTTCTCATGGCCAAACGTTGTAATAAAATTCGATTTTTTACTCGCCTACAACCCACTCTACATTTCCAGCTGTAATTTTGTAAATTTTGTAAGAATCGAAATCAAACATCACCATCACACACACGCACACACACGTAATATTCATATATAATTTTATATAACAATGTTTATATAACACACACACACACACACACACACACACACACGTAATATTCATATATAATTTTATATAAGATGTTTATATACAGACACATTTTTTTATACACACACATAATATTCATATATAATTTTTATGTTTATATAACACCAACACACGCACACACACACACACAGGAAATATATAATTTTATATAACAATGTTTATATAACACGCACGCACACACACACACACGTAATATTCATATATAATTTTATATAACAATGTTTATATAACACGCACACACACACACACACACACACATAAATTATATATGTGTGCGTGTGTGTAAATATTCTCAGATAGAGTGTATTTGTAGAGGAGACAAAAAGTTATGTGGCATGTGTGATACACGCTTAGGTGTCTATTCGATACATGACTGACAAGGCAGATTTTTCCCGCAGGAGGTTGCCATTTCTTTCTGCGGTAGATCAGTTGCTATCCAAGACTATAGAACCCAGTCTGTCCTGCTATTTACTCATAGCTGGGGGTGAGGAAGAAGAGGCTTCATACCTTTCCCAAGGATTAGCACGTAAGTGAATGTAATGAATTCGACTGGAATTCGAACTCGGCTCTCTGATTCCTCAATCCGAGCTGCTATGCTAGACAAGATGAATGAAATGAGACAAGAGGAAAACTATTCTTAACCAACGCGTTTCGTCCACTGAGGGACATTATCAATGCAATTTAGGATTTATTTCGTTGCACGTGTTTATATAAAAAGGCGAGCATGCAATTGTTCTTATGAATATAAACACGATCAACAAAATAAATCTTACATTGCCTTGATAAATTCCCTCAGAGGACGAAAGGCGTTTACCTCTAGAAAAATCTCTTTTATATATAAATTTATTAATACGGAATTATATATATATATATATATATATATATATATATATATATATATATATAAATTTATTAATACGGAATTAAAAATTTAATTTTAAACCTCAATTCTACAAAATTAAAAGACTAGAATATTTTGCATACCGTCAATATAAATAAATGTTTGTCTATTTTTATATGTGTGCTTTTGTGTGTATTGCTCTATGTGCTCTGAGTAAGTTTACGTAAGTACTGATTACACACACACACACACACACATATATATATATATATAAGGATTTGAAAATGCAACTGGAGTCTTTAAGAATATTTATCTAAAGTAACTTTACCGGTTTCACAGTTTTATGATTTTCAAAATTTAAATTGAGATAGATAGATAGATAGATAATGAACAGACTCAGATAGATAGATAGATAGATAGATAATGAACAGACTCAGATAGATAGATAGATAGATAGATAGATAGATAGATAGATAATGAACAGACTCAGATAGATAGATAGATAGATAATGAACAGACCCAGATAGATAGATAGATAGATAATGAACAGACTCAGATAGATAGATAGATAGATAGATAGATAATGAACAGACTCAGATAGATAGATAGATAGATAGATAGATAGATAGATGTGTGGCTATACCCTGATATGTCTCGCATCTCACATATATATATATATATATATATATATATATATATATATGCGTATATCTTGGCAGCATGTTTTCATTAAGTCATGTCTCATTAAATAATTTAGACAAATTTTGTCTACTTATTATTAATAGGTTCCTCTCGTAATTACAGACAAGTTTCTTAATATTCTTATTAAAAGAATAAAGAAAATTACCATGTTGATGCATTTTCATTTTATTCTGAGTACTTTCGACATTAGCAAAAAAAATTGTCCTGTTCATCATTTTTCAAAGACAAAATTGTTGTGTTTAAAATATCTAGGTTTTAACTAATTGTTTTGAATAGTTTTTTCTTTTTGAAAAAAAATATTTAGACATTTCAATAAGTTAGTTACCTCCCTTGATGTTTGCACGTTTGTCTACATGATAAAATTTAGAAACTATCCAGGACATAACCTGAGCGTTTTCCACTTTACACGTAAATATTTAATTTTTAGATGAACACAACAATTTTGTCTTAGAAAAATGATGAACATTACAACTGAGAATTAGAAAATATTAAAATACTACATCATATTAAAATAATAAAAATAGAAAAAAAAACAACAACGCTAAAACTATCAGAAAACGAGATCAAGTGATTTAAGTTAGCGTCCCTTTTACTCTTCCAGATGTTTTGATTGTAAAAGTTGAATCAAAACTGAGAAGGATATATAAAGAAGGATTATATATATATATAAATATGTAAAGGAAAATTATATAAAGCTTTAATTTATTATATTAATTAATTCAATATATTAATAATAAATAATAATAATAATAAAATAAAATATTACTATATTAATATAAATTAACTAGCAATAGAGCCCGGCGTTGCCCGGGGATGTAACAGTAAGAGATAGATAAAGTATCGACCATCATAAAGACTGAAAAATAAAATTGACAAAGATTATTGTTTAAGGTTGATGGACACGCATGTCTTAATTAGTTTTTTTGTTTTGTTTTTGTTTTTTTACGAATTGGTCAAACCCAAACTCAAACAAAAACATTGTTTTCAATCGTTATGAGTCTACCGATTGAATAGAATTTTATTATAAACAATTATCTCGTAAATGGAATTTTTAAAGCATTCTGAATGTAAAAATAAAAGAAAAAAAGTGTGCAAGACAATAAAAACACTACCTGCCAAAAAAAGTGAAGTTTTGTTGAAATCAGTTGAAAAAATAGAAAATCCGATCCCATATATAAACGAACACACACACACACACACACACACACACACACACAACAACCTGGGTTTTATAATAAGTATAACTCGATAACTCGATATTAATAAGTATAACTCGATATGAGTTGTCCCCTTTCATTAATGCCTCTTAATCCTGTTTTCAAATTGATTTCGTGCAAAAACAATTGTGTTTTTCCAATTTTGGCGCTGTCAGAACCACCGCAAGGTAATTTTACATAGTCCTGTGAAGTTTTGTTGAAATCGTTTGAAAAATGTACGAAATCCGATCCAATATATAAACGTACACACACACACACACACACACACACACACACACACACACAAGTACACACAATCTGCGTTTTATAATAAGTAAAATATTATAAAATAATAAAAAATAATATATTAATAATAAAATTATAAATAATATAAAGATTAAAATATTAAAGTAAAAATGAAATAAAATATTACTAAATTAATATAAATTAATTATTATAAAATATTAAAAATATTAATAAAATTATAAATTATATAAAAGATTAAATATTAATAAATAATAAAATAAAATATTACTATATTAATATAAATTAATTATTATTGATAAATATTAAAAAATATTAATAAAATAAATTATATAAAAGATTAAATATTAATAAAATAAAAATATTAGATATATTAATATAGATTAATTATTATAAAATATTAAAAAATATTGATAAATTATATAAAAAATTAAATATTAATAAAATAAAATAAAATATTACTATATTAATAATAAATTAATTATTATAAAATATTAAAAAAATTAATAAAATTAAAATTTATAAAAGATTAAATATTGGACTGTCATAAAATAAAATTTATATATTAATATAAAAATTATTATAAAATATTAAAAAAATTTAATAAAATTATAAATTATATAAAAGATTAAATATTAATAAAATAAAATAAAATATTACTATATTAATATATAAATTATATATTATTTTGTATTAAAAAAAATATATTAATAAAATTAATTATAAATTATATAAAATTTTAAATATTAAAAAATAAAATAAAATATTACTATATTAATATAAATTAATTATTATAAAATATTAAAAAAATATTAATAAAATTATAAATTATATAAAATTTAAATATTAAAATAAAATAAAATATTACTATATTAATATAAATTAATTATTATTCTTATTAAAAAATATTAATAAAATTATAAATTATATTAATAAAATATTAATAAAAAAAATAAAAATATTACTATATTAATATAAATTTTTTATTATAAAATTTTTAAAAATAATATATTAATAATAAAATTTAAATTATATAAAAGATTAAATTTAGTAAAATAAAATAAAATATTACTATATTAATATAAATTAATTATTAAAAATATTAAAAAAATTAAATTAAATAATAAATTATATAAATATTAAATATTAAAATAAAATAAAATATTACTATATTAATATAAATTAATTATTATAAAATATTAAAAATATTAATAAAATTATAAATTATATTAAATTAAATATTAATAAAATAAAATAAAATATTACTATATTAATATAAATTAATTATTATAAAATATTAAAAAATAATATATTAATAATAAAATTATAAATTATATAAAATTAAATATTATATTGTCAGGGAAAAATAAAATATTACTATATTAATATAAATTAATTATTATAAAATTTTAAAAAAATAATATTAAAAAATAAAACTATAAATTATATAAAACAATTAAATATTTTAAAATAAAATAAATAATTACTATATTAATATAAATTATTATAAAATATTAAAAAAAATTTTAATAAAATTATAAATTATATAAAGATTAAATATTAAAAAAAAATTAAAATAAAAAATTACTATATTAATAGAAATTAATTATTATAAAATATTAAAAAAACTAAATTATTAATAAAAAATATTAAATTATATAAAAATTAAATATAAAAATACGAATTAACAGAATTAAATTTCTTCAATAGCATAAATAAACGGATCTCAAAAATAAATTTGCAGATTTTTAAAAATTTATGGCAT